AATGTTTGTGCCCACCCCCCTCTCCCCCCCCCCACGCCCCCCCCCCCCCGCCCCCCCCCCCGGCCCCTTAGCTTAAGCCGGCTCTTCTGGAAGCAGCAACCGAGCAGGGAGAAGCCAGGACAGACTTTGGCCACCTGGTGGCACAGGGAGGGGGGCTGGCCGTCCTGTGCCATTCCTGCCAAGTCGAATCAAACCCGCGTAGGGGACCCCAAGCGTGGGAAGCGCAACCTTCCACCAGGGATTCCTCTGCCAGCGATTGTGGCCTCCCAGTTAGGGGCCCTCTGCAAGCATCCACGGTTGCTTCCTTGATCAGCCCCTGCCAAGCTCTTTCTGTCAATGTGCGGGAGAGGGGATTGCACTCTCCTCTCAGTGGCCAATGAGGGGCTAAGCCCCCATGGGGAACCACTGTCTCAAGTAGCCAAAGGCCTGGGTTTTAGAACTCTGCTTTGGAAATCAGCACATTCTTCATTTGCACTGGAGCATGCCCGTCAGAGAGAACTTCCAACAGGGATGGGAAGGCAGATGGGATGCAGGGGGGGAACGGGCTGGGTGCTCTGCAGAGGTACCTCCCCCAGCAGGGGGCACCCAGCAGTGGAGCATTAAGCAACCTGGTCCGGCCCCCCATGTGCCTGCTGGGCTCTCACGGGGCTGCTCTCCCTTCCAGCTCTCAGCCAGATCATGCTCTTTGTGGACGGAATGATGGGGGTGATCCAGCACCCGGAGGCTGTGCAGTGGCTCTACACCCTGACGGGCAGCTTGGTGAGTGACCCCCCTGCCTGCAGAGGCACTTCGCGTCCTCCTTGCCCGCCTCATTAACGCCCTCATTTGCCCCGGTGCCTGTCCTTCCCCTGCTCCTGGGGTCTCCTCGCAAAGAAGGAGTGGCGGCTCAGCCCCCCCCCCCCCGCCGCGTGAGGGACTGAGGCTCAGACCGGGGCTTCCCCAGCCCAGCTCCACAACTCACGGCCCTGACCGTGACCATGACCGTGACGGCCCTGACCGTGCTCAGGCACTTTGAGGCCCCGGCCCTCTTCAGATTTTTTTCTTTAATTTTTAATAATTTTATTTTAAATACAGTACACATATGCACATAGGCAAATACATTACAGCAGAGCGAAGCAGCTTGATAGCTATACTGACTCTCTAACAAGTGGACAGGCGTACTATTTCTAATAATCATAGCAGAGAAGTACTGAAAGATGGAAACTGGGGAAATGATAGTTCTGATTATGAATCTAAAATATATAAGAAGTCTTCAAGCTAATCAAGAACATAAGAACACCATTGTATAAAATAGGTACAGCAGGAATTAAATCAAGGATCAATTATTATTAAATTACTGTGGAACCACATACAATTCAGGGGGTAAAAAGTCTCTAGATGGTAATAAAACCATCACAGCCATTGGTCACAAAACCCAGCTTGGTACGCATTGTATTTAGGACTAAATTTGCTGTGAAGCACTAAAAGTGGGAGAAAAAAGCCTACCTCTTGCCTCATCCAGGGCCAGGGCTTCTACCCCACCAACACTTTTCGGGGTGTTACACCTTCTTTTCAAATGAACAAGATAAATGGATCATTTTACTCACGAGACAACAAAACAATTTAAGAAAAGAAAATGGGCAGCTTTAGTCCTGGGAAAAGCATCGAAGTACACTGGAGATCCTGATGTAGTGCTAGATCTTGGAGGCTCAGTGGTTCCTGAATCAGTCTTTGATCTGAACTAAAAGCCAAAAATGAACCGAGGCCGCAAACTTAAAAAGAGACAACTCGCGCCTGTGCCTAAAAGCAGTTATAGAATTCAAAACAAAGCGTAGACACAATTTTAAAAGAAGAATTAATGGCTTTCAGGATGGCTCAAAATGGATAATTACAAAAGAATCCATAGTATATTCTGAAAGTAAGAAAGGAAAATTCATTCTTTTAAACCTTGAACAAAGATATCTCCGTAGAAAAATACAAGGCGCAACTACACTTCCAGTCGGAGCTCTCAGATAATGCTGCTCCCAGCCTTCTGGACCATCGTCCAAATACCCTTATTCTCTTTCATCCTCTTTATTTACTGAATAGAGACTTGGCTGGTTCTTCTCTAACTAAGTCAGTGACTGTCACTGCTTGCTGAGATGCCCATTTAGCACGAACGGGGCAAAGGTCACCAGCCACTGTCGCAATGCAGCAAGAAGGTAAAAACAACCACGTTTCCTGGAAAAAAAACTGTGTCATAGCTGGAGATACGTGTGCCAGAAATGATGGGTCCCTACTTCTGGATTCCCACCCTGCAGTGTTTCAGGAAATGAAGGATAGAGAAGTAATATCAGTCGAATGTCGTTCAGCCTGGGCTGGGAAACACTGGGGGGGCTACATCCGGCGGCTCCTGCGTTGCCAGCTGCTGCACCGGAACAGCCCACGTCAGATATCCAAGTGCCCTCTAGTGCAGCTGAGATGGAAACCAGTAAGCGCTGATTTGCAGTCTCTGCAATTTGTGGGACTGAACCCGCATCTCCCGGTGGCGTATTCGGATCTTCAGTGACGCAACCTGCTTGCCTGCCTAGTTGCCTGTCTTCGAGGGGCGGTGGAGACGAACTCCTGCTTTTGCGGCCTTCTGAATAGGGCACGGAGACCAAGTCAATTAGTGGGGCAGCTGTCTTGGGCACTGTGGTTAAAGTTGGCACAAGATCCTCTAATTTCTTCAGCAGATCTTCCTGTTTGCAGCCTGGCAAGGCTCCAAAGGTGTCAATTTATTCTGCCTCCAGCAGTTCAGCTGCAATCCGTCCTCCTCTCTCTGCCTGACATTGCTTATCTGAATAAGCTTCTCCCAAGGACAGGGCTGGTTTGTTATCTTTGCAACTGGCGGCGGCGGCACCCGCTCCTTGACTCTCATTTAAAGCACTGGCAGCATCTTGACGTAGTGACTCAGAAACCAGGGCGATCTGTGTTCCACAAATGCAGGCCTTGGAAATACTAGGAAGGTGGCCAGCAGGGGCTTCACTTTAAAAAGCATGCTTGGAATTATAGACTGAATGTCAGCCCATCTTACTAGGAAGCCTCTCCACCAAGTGTAAGTCAATTGTGTAGTAATGACATCAAAGTAACTGACTTATGGAACAACGTATTGCTTTCTTTGAACCCCACCGTCCGCTGATGAGTCTGTTAAGGGGGATTTGTAGGTAAAACTGGTTAGTTTGCAACATACGGTTGTTTGATTTTGATTTTCAACCCTTCCATGTCTCAAAAGTTGAGGGGCAGGTGTTTTGAGGATTTGTTTCCTTTTCTCAGTAGATTTAGCTATAGAGTCTTTATTTTGGGTTACAACAGCTTGATCATTTTTGGACTCAGAGCTTTCTGCTTCAGCAATCTGAGTTAATTTATTGTAAAAGACTGAGTAAATACATCAAGAGACTCTTTCAATGAATCCACTTTCACTTTTATTTCTGTTAAATAATCAAAAATTGACAGAACAGTCTGTGCCGTCTGTAAGCTTGGCCTTGACACAAGAACTGTAGTCTCATTTTTAGAAATCTCTTCCTGACAACGTTGTGTAGTAAATGCTGCAACCGAACATACTGCAGCTGCTTCAGAAGAGGAGACTGTCATGTCTCAGGGGCCCAGGGAAACTGGTTCCCCACTGTTGTAAGTGGGGTGGCCCACTCATGCTGATGCTGGTGCTGTCATTACTTACATTGTCTTCTTCAGTCACCTTCTTTTCAAATTGCATAAGGTCACCTGTTTTTCATTGCTTGGATGGTTTAAGTGGTGTCTGCATGCCACAATTCATTCTTTGTCATTTCTTCCTCTTTCCCATGCTGTAATCTTCTCTTGACGGTAAAGTATAAGCAGTTCTCACCCAGTTTGTTTGGACATTAGTCGTATACAGTTGTGCACTGGGACCAGTAATTGCTGAAAGATTAGTCTGATAATATAGAAGTAAAAATAAAAATTTGCCAGAGCACTCTAGTAGCTAGATGCTTTCCCTTTGCCATCTTGGGACTCTCTCAGGCCCCAGCCCTCTTCAGCTTAGCAGGAGGACCTTCCACACGACAGGACATCACCTTGGGAGCAATATGTCCTCCACATCTTACCCCCCAAGGGTCTACCTCGGCCGGATGGTCCTCAGCATCATTCAGAGCATCCAGGCAGAATCCCAGCTCAGTGGGGCAGCTGGGAGAGGGGGTCTCCTTCTGGTAACTTGACAGAGATGCAAGTTATGTCAGAGGAGTGAGCTAAAAGGAGACCGCCAGGAAGAGGTTTCTTCACCTGGCCCTTGTGCTTGAAGGCCTGGCCCATTCCTGATGCTGTGGGCTTTTGCCCCTCCTGCCAGCCCCAGGAATGGATAGAGCACTTGCTTGGCACGCTTGAAGGTCCCCACATCTACACTCTTAGTGCTGTTGCCAGAGAAGGCCCACTCACTTGGCACAAGCAGTTTTCCCTCTCCTTCATCTAGTACCGCCTCGTGGTGAAGACAGCCTTGAAGCTGCTCCTGGTCTTTGTGGAGTTCACGGAATCCAACGCCCAGTTGCTGATCCAGGCCGTTGTGACTGTGGAGCAGGCCAGAGGTGAGCGCGTACCCCAAGGCAGGTGCCTTGGTGGGTGGCTGAATCTGGGAGCTGCTGGACGCTGGTGATTCTGATTCCTCGTTCCTCCTTGGAGAGAGAGCCTCCTTTTAGTCTCATCAAGCAGGCCATTTTAGGTGGCCTCTAAGGATCGTTAGGTGCAGGCCATCTCTCCATGGGAGAAGGAAGGTGGGCCCTGGGTCACCACCACACAAGTATCTTGTGGAGCGGAAGAGGTTCTGCCTAAGCAGGGAGCCTCTGGCTTCGAGGATGGAAGGAATGACCTGTTTTCCTTACTTGCTGCCTTCAGGTGGGTTTCCGTGGTCTCGCCTCATGGCCATCCTGGAGCAGAAGAACGGGGCTGATACGGAGCTCCAGGTGTTTGCAATGACACTCATCAACAAGGTGAAGGTTGGCAGACTGGGCAGGTAGCGGCTCTCCGGGGTAGGCAGCTCTTCCAGCCTAACCCTTGCGTCTTGTTGGGGCTTCCAGACGTTGGCTGCCCTCCCTGACCAGGACTCCTTCTACGACGTGACAGATTGCCTGGAGCAGCAGGGCATGGAGCGGCTCATCCAGCTGCACCTGGCCAGCAAGGGCACGGACCTGGACCTGAAGCAGCAGCTCACTGTCTATGAGGTAACCCTTGCGGAGGGAGGCCCTCTGGAGTGGCCCCCCGACTGCCCACCTGTGCCTGCTTGCTTGCTGGACCTCTCTCTGATCCATAGAATGCCCTCAAGGAGGAGGATGGGGTGGAGGAACCTCTGCCGGGCACCCGTGCCAAGGAGCGGAGGAAAGGGGACGAGGGCCGGCAGGGCGCCCGGCGCTCCTTCGTCTGTGCTGTGGCCCAGGAGGAGAGGGGAGGCACTCCTGCTGCAGAGGCTTTTCCCAGCCCTCCACAGGCTCTGGGGCCGGAGGACGCAAGCCGTGAGCAGCCGTGAGTCGGGCCTGGGGTTTGGGGTGGGCACGGGCGCGGGGCTGGGGACCAGGCAGAGGCAGCGGGGCTGCGAGTGGAGGGGAGCTCCATCTGTCTCGGCCGCCGGGCTCCGGTCCATATGGCTCATCTGCCGCCATTCCAGCCTGTGGCGCTGTGGAGCCTGCGTGCGTGTCAGCCGGCCCAAGAGCCTCAGCGGGGTCTCCCCTAGAAGGGTCAGTCGGTCGACTGCAGCTCTTCCCCCCTTTGTCGCCTCCAGGCCCAGCTCGAAGGGCACCTACAGCAGTGCCTCCCACGTGCAGCTCTCTGTGCCGCTGGCCCCTATGGAAGGAGAGCAGCCGGCTGGCCTGGGTGAGAGGAGTGTCTTCAAGTAGGTTTTCAAGTGGTCTGGCGAGCAAGAGGGCTCTGGGGGAGGTCTTGGGGGGGTCTTGTAAGCATGGGAGGGTTGCCCGGGAGCCGGCTTCCTTCTTTTCTTCCTGGGCAGTGACCCCTGTCTCTGTCCTTAGTCTTGAAGTCTTCCTTGTCAGCACGCGGATGCCTTAGGGTGCCCCGCTCTTGGTGCAGGGGACGCACTGAGCCCCTCTTCCCAGGCTCACAGCTCTCCAGCAGTTGGTGCTGTGGCAGCCTTGCCCTCTGCTGCAGGTTGGCAGCACATCCCCGGGTGAGGGAGAAAGAGAAGCTGTTTTGTTGAAGCTGGCAGAGCATTGCCACCGGTGGCTGAATCTGGTGGAGGCACCCAGTGCCCCACGGACCCCTCCTGCTCTTTGGGGGAGGAGGAGGGAGGAGAAGATGCCCCCCTCCTTGCTGGGACCCTGGGCAGGGGAGAAGGCACTTAGGGCTGGGGAGGATGGCAACGTCCGCCTTCCTTCCCGGGCACCTTTCTGCGTTTCCGCCCGCTCTGCATCTTTCTGTCTTCTCTCTGCTTCTCTGCTGGCAGGCAAGCGCCAGAGGGGCTGTGCAGATGGGCAGTTTGCCCTGCACGGAGGTTTGTGGAGCGGGATGGGGGCTGGGGGTCTCCTCCTCTTTCTCAGCTGGTTTGAGCTTCTCTCAGCTTTCTTGCTCTCTCCAGCGCCTGTGCGGCTTAAACGCTATTTCCTCTTCCAGACTTCGCGAAACTGCCTCTGCTTGGTAAGTGATGGCACGGCTTGTGTGTTGTGTGAGGGGGGCTTCCCTCGGCTGCTGACGGCAGCGCTGAGCGGCCCTCCTGCTTGCAGTGCCGGTTTCTTGGCAAGGAATCTCCTGGCTGGGCTTTGCGGGTGCTGGTGGCTCAGCTGGCTCTCCTGATGCAGGAGCCTTGGAGGGGCCGGCGTCCCCAGGGCCACGGGCTCCCCTCCCTCAGGATTAGGTGGGGAGCAGCTCCCTGTGCCCCATCCTTTCCACAAGGGGACACCTCTGCTCTTGTCCCAGGGAGCCCCCCTTTGGCCGTCCTCCTGGCAGGAGCCAAGGGGCAGCAGTGCTCCCTCCAGCAAGCAGCCCTCCCGCTGTGTGTCCCTCTTGCCTTTGGGGCTGGCTTGGCCGAGCTTGTGGGCACGACGTGGAGAAGCTCTAGGCCCAGTGGCACTAACTCACTTTTTCTCTCAGGCGAGAGGAAGCCCCCCCGGTATGTGGGGACAGGCCCATTCTGAGGCGCTTTGAGTAAGTACGGAGTGGCACGCGCACCCCAGGCGAGGCTGAGGCCCTGGATGGGAGATGGGCCTTCCCCGCCGAGCCAGTGGCTCCGGGTCCCCTTCTGATGCTGGGTCCGCTCTCTCTGTAGGCAGAAACGGCCTAAGGGTGACCAAGGTTGTTTCTGCCGCAGTGCTTCCTTGAAGCTGGCTTGATGTGCACCTCGAAAATCCACTTCCTTCAGTGAGGGTTGGTCAGCAACAGCTTGAAACCAAGCTTTAGGGCAAGGCATTTCACGTCACGTGCTCAGCCCTGTCTGAGGCAAACGTGGGTAAATTTCTTGCCCTGTGACCTTGCACTGATGGCCCTGCAAACAGACCGCTGGCTGCATTGGAGGTCGCTGGTCAGCTAATTCTTATTTAGGTAGGGTGACCTGATAAGTTGCAGATGTGCACAAAATGGAAAGTAAGCGTTGATCTGGATCTTGAAACAAACCATTGCATTCTGGAAGTTCTGCTGAACTGTTTGGAACAGTTGTGGTTCAGGTACAACAAAAATGGAAAGTCTCCTGGAGTGATTTTACAGAGCAAATTGGGCAAGGCTGGCGCGTAACACCTCCTCCCTCCTGCGCGTGGCCCCTTTTCCCAGCATCTTCCTTCCTACGATGCCACATCCGGAGCTTGAGAAAGACTCGACTTGACTCCTGGCCACTTGCAGACTCCTCAACCATCTGGCCAATGCCTAGCCTCCTTGCCTGTTCACAGGGAGACTGTTAATTTTTTTTAAATTGAAACTTGAAAAAAATGGTGCCTTAATAAACCGGAAGAAAAACTGGGTTCTAATGTGAAAGCAAGCAATCTGGAGGCTGAGATTTCTGACTCCTTATTCCATCTCTTTTTCACAAATCTCGGTAAAGAAAGCTGGGAATATTTTACTTTGGTGTGCTTGGCTGCTGGCATCTCCCGTTAGTCCCCAGTGTTCCAGGTGGTAACCCCACCGGCCACCTCCGCTGCTGATGTCCACCCACACTCACTGAGGAACGCCCCACCACCACTTTGGCCTGGAATGTGCACGTTTCAGCCCTTATCCAGAACAAAACAGCTTGCCATTTTTATGGACCAAAACATCCAAAATAATTCTATCCTGTTTCACCCAACTGCATGCCAATAGGGGTTAAAAAAAAAAGAAGAAAGGAACAGAAACAGATGGATAAAAATGGTCTTGTGGCTGATCTAGCTGCCTGCTTTGAGTCCTGAGCCAGAAGTTGTGTTTAATCTCAAAATGATCCTTTTTTTTTGGATTTGGATAAAGTTGGGAGCCCAGGAGTAAAATGAACTTCCTGCTGCCAAACCTTGGGGTATAAAAAGTGGCAAAGATGTTCTGCCTTAACTGTTTTTCCAAGTTCATGCAATGGGGATGATCTTTAAATGGCCAGCTTCATGTGTCGTGCAGACATGATCTTGGAGCAGATTGGGGGCATGGGGAACAGTGGTTCAGTCACTGGGATAAGATGTGATTGTTTAATTTATGGTTCGGTGCAAGCCCAGGCAGTGTTTTCAGAGGTGTGGGCGAGGTGGGCAAGGCCAGCAGGGAAACTGGTGCAGTCGAGGTGGGAAGGTACTTCCAGAGGAAGAGAAGTGGGCTTATCTCAGGGTAAGGGAAGCAACCCGGGCCTCGTCTTCCAGTTGGGCTTAAGGATGTAAGACGCCTGGATTTTAATCGTGACTACAACCTGGCTTAGCCATCATTATGCCAGCACCAAGCTCCGGGGGGCATGGGTGACCGAGTGACTTGGCTGACTCAGCAGTTGGGTTTCAAAAGCAGAGTGTGAAATGGAGAGCCTAAAATGAGGCCTCCTGAGATTAGAGTCAGGTAACTTTTAAGGGCTGAAGAAAGCAGTCACTTCCCAATCGCTCTTCCCTTCAGGAATCCAGACGTCTGATGGCATATGCTGGCTGGGGGTGAAAACGCTAGATGAGGAAGTTGCTTTCGTGTGGGACCGCTGTGCAGAAGGCATCGCAGAGCCAGATTTGTAATGCTTGGATGCCAGTCTGGTGTGACCAACCCAGACACAGTGAAGTCGCTGTGCAGTTCAGCTGCTGCCCATCAGAAGGCAAATGGCCGAGCAGCGGCCAAAACCCTCGGGTGGGCGAAGCAGCTCCCCAGACAGAAGGATCGCAGGACACTTGGAGGAGTTGGAGCTCCATTTCTCTGCTTCCGGCAGGGATGGAGAACAGAAGGGCCGGACTCAGGAGGGTGATTCCCGTGAAGCTCCCTGCGAAGGAGGAGAAGCGCGAAGAAAGGGTTTGGATTTCCCAAGCTTATGGGGGGCAAATACCATACTTGGGGCACCCAAGTTGCAAAATGCAGCAGCTCACTCCCAGTCCCAGAGATGTGAACAAGAGTGCGGGTCCGCCTTGCCAGCTCTTCCCATCAGAGCTGTGGCATTCGGTGTGAGGCAGGCGCCAAACTGCGCTACAACAAGGAAGAAGGACTTCGAAGAAGAGACCCTCTTCAAACCTGGGCAGCCGCCTCCCCCCAAGTTCTGGCCGGTGTGAAATGCCAAGAGCCTCTTCTAAGCAGTCTCACCAAGTGGTGTCCCCTCACAAGAGGCTGAGCTTCAGGGCTGGATGGTCTCGGCTCACCTCCCCTGCCCAGACTTTGGTTGCTGTGCCCGGAGGCAGAGGGGGAAGGAGGGCATGGGCAGGGCTCCCTTCTCTCTCTTTCTCTGGCATTCCCCACTCACTGGCTTAGAATCGTAGAGCTGGAGGTGATCTTGGAGTCCCTGGGCCAAACCCCGATTCAGTGCAGGATCTACTAGAGCATCTCTGATAGGTCACCATCAAGCTTCTGTTTGAAGCTCGAAGCTGTAGTGAAGGAGAATTCACCACATCAAGTGGCAGTCTGTTCCACTGGTCGATCACTTGATCAGTTCTCTTTCCAACGGAAAAAGGGGCTGCGTGTCCCAGAAATCCAGTCCCCATTGCAGCCAAGAGAGGACAGACGGCAGGCGAAGAGATCTGGACTGAAGGGGGCAGTCCTACAGGGAACCCAAAAAACCAGCTGGAGCTGCCTGATGGCCATGACAGAACACACGACTTCAGTCCACCTCCCTGGTGCACATCAAGACACCTTCCATTGCCTGCGTGCGGTGTCTTGAAGTGGGATATTAGAGAAAGCCACTTTGGGAGTGCAGCACCTTGCACCATCCTTTGGCTAGATCAGCTGTGAGAGGACACGTGCAAGGGCTGTCCTTGTGTCAGGGCCAGGAGGTCATGTGCATTCGCTCTGTATCTCTAAGACAGAAGTTACATCCGAAACAGAGAATCTGTTAGTTCCCTGATATTCCTTTTGTGTATTAGCTTATAGTTTAATTGTCACTGGTAACTTTTGTGTATCAAGATTATTATATTGGGGCCAGCTGAGTTCTTCTACAGTATCTGTCTTCATATTATCATAAAGCTGGAAGTGACCATAAAGGCCATCTAATCCAGCCCCCTGCTCAATGCAGGATCCACTATACCACCTCTCACAGATGACTGTCTGGCCTCTGTTTGAAGACAAATAGCGCAGGAGAACTCGTGGCAGCCTGTTCCACTGTCAGACAGCTTGTGGAGTCAGGAAGTTCCTCCTGATGTCTAGCGTGGACCTCGTTTCTTGTAGCTTTAGCCCCTTGGTTCTGGTCTTGTTCTTTGGGGCAAGAGAAAAAAAAATCTCTCCCTTCTGTGTGACAAACATATTGGAAGAGTGCTATCATATTGTATCTCCTCTCTGCTGTCTTTTCTGTAGGCTAAACAGAGCAAGATCCTTCAACTATTCTTCCTGGGGCCTGGAACCATCTTGGTAGCCCCCTTCTGAGCTCACTTCACTTTGTCACTGTCCTTATACCATGATGCCCAGAATTGGACATAGTACTCCAAATGGGATCTGACCAGGGCAGTGTAGAATAGAATAACTCTTGAAATCTGGACTGTGCTGTTGATAATGATGGCATTTGCCTTTTTTAGCAGCTGCAACACACACTGCTGGCTTATGTTTAACTTGTGGTCAACAGGGATACCCAGATCCTTTTCACCTGTACTTTTGTCAAGCTGGTCTCCCCCATCCTGTACTTGTGTCTTACATTTCTCCTCCCTGGTATAAAACTTTACATTTTGCCCTGTTAAATGCCATCCTATTAATGTTGGCCTGTCTGGATCTTTTTAAACCCTTTAATCTCTCCGTTCTCTGCTTTGTGCCATCTGCAGACTTTGCAAGGGTCCCCTCAACTCTCTCATCCAAATTGCTGATAAGAATGATAAATAATCAAGAGCCCTTTGGCGTGCCGGATAATGCTTCCCTCCTGGCAAAGTGAGGCCATGAATGAATGCTCTTCGGATGCTGTGGCGTAGCTCCAGGAGTCACAGACCTGCTTTCAACCTTGGTTAATATAAATGTCTCAAGGAGGAATTTCTGTGCCTCAGGGGGTGTAGGTTGTCCTTGGCTTGGCTTGGGTCTTTGAGTTCCAAAAACATCCAGCAACTTCCACTTCTTGAAAAGACCTGGGGAGTGTTACCCCTCGAAATAGCCACTGTGCGTGGCATCTGTATTTGGAGGGTGTGCCTGTGTGTGGCCAATGCAAGTTTTGTAAACATTCATAGAAACCCGTAGGTAACCTCTTCCTGGCTTGGGGCTGGGGTTGGCACACCCTCTCTTGCTCAAGGGCTGCACATATAATTAGTAACAGACGGAGCGTGATGTGCACTGTCTGCTGGACACAATGGTGGCCGTGTCCCTTTCGGCAAATGGTGTGGAGTGCCCTCTTCTCTTGCAGAGCCCGCTTCCTAGAAAACCTGGCTGCCTCTCAGAAGGAGAAGATCTTTGCCATCACCCAGGGACGAGCAGAGGTCCTTGCCGAAGCTGTTCCGAGTGCTGAGCAGGTTGCCCCAGGTAGTGTGGTGGGGAGCAGGGGGAGCCCGTGGTCCCCCATTCGTTCAACAGCCTGTTCTGGTTGCAGTTGTCCCTTTCTTGGTTCCTTTTCGTTCCTGCTTAGCCCTCTCTCCTTTATGTGTGCCCCTTTATGCCCTAGGGAGATGGAGTGAAGGACAGAATGGGAGCGCCAATGAGGAAGAGCTCAGCTCAGCAGGTGATTTGGATCGTGAAGAGACCAGTGAGAAAGTTCCACCCAAGGACGCCTGTCTAAGTCACCCACTCAACGCCTCTTGTATCCTGGGCCCAGATCCAGAGAGTGTCCCGTATGGCAGCAGTGGGGATCTTGGGAGCAGCATTGCTTCTGAGAAGAAAAAGCTTATGCTTGACATGTTCTTTGCCCATAAGAGCCCATCAGGCACGGAGAGGAAGCTGCTTTTCCCAGCAGAGGTGTGCTTGGAAGAAACAGGGAAGAAGGCTAGGCAGGAAGAGCAAGGCCAGGAGAGAACAGGGCAACAGACTGACTTCTGGGCCCTCCCCTTGCGGAGCCAGTCCAGTTTTGAAGCTGAAGCCAGCCTGAAGAGTCTGGACAGGACCCAGGTGATGGGGAGTCCGCTGGAGCTTGATTCTAAACTTCTGAAGATTAGAGATCTTGACTTCTCAGACCTGGGTGAGGAGGAGGATTTTGATGTACAAGAAACAAAAGTGGCTGAGGTGGCCTCACCCCATGTGGCTTTGAGAGCAGTTGAGGACTTGGCTCCTCCCCTGATTCCTGGTTGCCCCACTCCTCCCCCCCCACCTCCTCCAGCTCCTCCTCCCCCAGTTGGTATACCTGGTCCGCCTCCTCCCCCCCCATTCAGCAGTCCCCTTCTTGGGGGAGAAGCCAGCTCCCCTGCAAAAAAAAAGACCATCAAGCTCTTTTGGAGGGAGCTGAAAGACATAGATGGCTCTGCCAGAGAAAGTCGGTTTGGGCAGACCGCTCTGTGGGCATCCCTGGAGAAGGTCGAGATTGACCCTGCCAAGCTGGAACATCTCTTTGAGTCCAAGGCAAAGGAGGTGCCAAGTTCTAAGGTAAGTTTCTGCATGAGGATGCAGCTTGGCAGAGCTGGGAGAGCAAGCAGGAACTCTTCCGAGAGCGGTTCCTAGCTTGGAGTTGTGGGGCTGTTGTTGCGCAACAGCCTCTCCTACAGCTGCAACTTGGACCAGAGGCTCAAAATATAATAAGAGCAAAGGAAACTGCCCAGAGTCAGGCCTTCCCTGTCTAGTACAGCAACTGCCCACTAAGCCTTGGGCTCTCTACCTTCTGGCTGCCTTCTGTGTGGAGATGCTTCCAGATCTTTTGGCAGCTGTGCTTCGTTTGCGCTGCAGGCGGACTGGGCCTTTTCTGGTCTAGCTTGCTCTTTTTGCTTGGGCTGGTTCGTGGAAAGATTTCTTTCTCTTGCTTCTGGCATTTGGGCATAAACGGGAGTGATAAAGTGATAAACTGCTGAAGCACAGGATGACTTGTGTCTCAGCCTTGCAGATGCTGCCCTTTTAGAACTTCAAGGCCCTTCCTTTTCCTGGGCTCAGGGCAGCTCTCACATCCTCAGGAGACTCCAAGTTTCTTGGCTCATAATGGTGGAGTTTGCAAAAACTTCTCTTTCTTACAGGGGACTTATTGGATCAAATGTGGATAAAGAAAAACCTGGGTTCTATTTTTAATCTATTCCAATGCTCCTGTTCCCTTTTTAGAAAGCTGTGGATGGAAGAAAGCTGATTGTGGTCCTGGATCCCAAGCGGAGCAATGCCATTAATATTGGCTTAACGGTGCTGCCTCCCACCCATGTCATCAAGATGGCCATTCTCAGCTTTGATGAGTTTGCCATTAACAAGGAAGGGATTGAGGTGAGAAGTGGCCCATCTTCAAACAAAGGGATTTCATGTGGTATCTTTGAGTGCAGACACCTGCAGCTCTTTCTTCAGTCCTTTGGAAAGCTTCCTCTGGGGGAGGACATCAGCCTTGACTATGACAGAACTAAAGGAGGTTCTGACCAACCTTTGTCCCTCTGGCTTTTCTGGTTCCTTTTTTTAACCAGAAAATACTGACAATGGTTCCAACAGAGGAAGAGAAGCAGAAGATCCAGGAGGCACAACTGGCAAATCCGAATCTCCCTCTGGGGTCAGCTGAGCAGTTCCTCCTCACGCTCTCCTCGATCACAGAGCTCACTGCTCGGCTCCAGTTGTGGGCATTCAAGCTGGACTATGAAGCCCTGGAGCAGGTACTCATGCAGGGTCTGGACTGGCTGTGAGGGTGGGTTGGTATAGTTGGGCTGTAGGCAACCACCACTGCATGTAGCTTGCATGGAGAATCTGCTGGTTTGCAAAGAAGGGCATAGTCTTTGACATGAGGCACTTGTGATGGCATTGGTGTCTGCTGTAATTGGTAGGTTTGCGGCGGGGGGGTGGCGGAATGGGTGTCACACCAGGCCTTGAGTGTCTGGCCAGATGGTTCTCTTCTGAATCTTCCCTCTCTCCTTGCCTTTTCAGTATTCCCCATTCTAGGAGGGTTTCATTACCTGCTTTTTTATTTTCTTCTGTTCAGGAAATTGTAGAGCCTCTGTTTGACCTGAAGCTTGGGATGGAGCAACTAGCCAAAAACCAGACTTTCAGGTGTATTCTTGCCACCCTTCTAGCCATGGGCAACTTCCTGAATGGATCCCAGGTGAAGCATGATAGCATAAACAAGGAGAGATGGGCTGCCTTTTAGAAAAGACTCATTCCTGGGTCCTGCACCAAGGCCAAGGCATTGGATCAAATTGTATGTGGAGATGCCCAAAGCATCTTTACACGCCTTCTTCCCTGGTCCATTCTAGTTAAGCATCTGGGATTGGAGTCTTGTTTCCAAGATGGGACGTTAGGCCAAGCCTGCCCTGATTGTCATCCTATAGCCTGCTCCTTAGATTCCTTTTTTAAACTGGAGACATCCAGGATCAAAATAGGACCATCTGAAGGCAACCCAGTGCATCAGCTCCGAGTTCTGCTCTCCGTGGAGCTTATCTGGACTGGCTTTCCTCCACAACAGGAGGAAAGAAGCAGCAGGCAAGGCCACCTCTTCTGTTCCTCACACTTACATGGTTTTAAATTCCAGAGTCGAGGGTTTGAGCTCAGCTACCTGGCCAAAGTGTCAGAGGTAAAAGACACAGTCCACCGGCAGAGCCTCTTACACCACCTGTGCCACTTTGTGGTGGTGACGTTCCCAGCCACCACAGACCTCTACTCAGAGATTGCTGCCCTCACTCGCTGTGCAAAGGTGAAATGGCCTTTCCTCCCCTTGTTCTGCTCCTGGGAGGCTGAGCTTGCGTGCTATGTCCCAGCCCAAATCCCACAGGAGTGGCACCATCTTAAAGCTCTCATCTTACCTCAGGTTGATTTCGAGGAGCTGGCAGAAAGTCTCCTGCAGCTGGAGCGGCGGTGCAAAGCTTCCTGGGAGAACCTGAAGGCCATTGCAAAACATGATTGCAAGCCAGCTCTAAAGAACAAACTGATGGATTTTCTGCAGACCAGCATGCAAAAGATTGGTATCCTCAAGGTTGTCCACCGGCGGGTGTTGAACAGGTCAGTGTCTCTAGATCTGAAGGCCATTGCTGCCAGATGCTGTGACTTTTGGTGGCTGAGCAACATCCCAGCCCCCTCCCACCCATCAAGAGAGGCCTCTGCTGCATGTATTGCCATGATCAGAGCTGCACAGCCGGGTGTCCGCTGCAGCTTCCCACAAGAAAATGACAGTTGGCTATTGAGAAGTTGATGAACCCAGTGGGTGGCGAGGAGAAGGTTCGTGTCTCTTCTAAGCTACCCCGTGATTGGCTGCATCGCAGCAAGGTGACTGCACAGGGTGGGGCCATTCAGCCCCAGCTGCCATTCCCATGGCATCTGGAGATCACAGAAAATTCAGAAATGTTAAGGGCGGAGGCTGCCAGGCCACAGGGAGGTGAAGTAATTGAGTGCAAACTGCATGGAGTGTTCTCACAAAGTCTGCTATTCCCCCAATTTTGGGGCCAAACTGTATACGGAATGCAGCAGACCGTTTCCTGTTCTGGAAGATTCACTTTGGGAAATGGATGAACCTCTCTTGGAACTTCCAGACTGGAACATCCTTGTGGAAAATGAATACCTGAATATTTCAGGAATGGACTGTACAGTTTTGCACATTCCTGAGATGAAACGATTCCAATTCCACCCTTAAAGACCTTCCGTCTAGAAAATGGGCCCCCAAATGGCACTGCTAAAATTTGACAAAATGGCTCAATGTTCAGCTAAAAATGGGAGTCTTTTGGTCCCTGCCTCGTCTGGTGGCCACAGCATGGACCTAGCTGACCTTGGCTGATCTTGAAAAAGCTGAGCAGGATTGGATCTAGGCTGTATCTGGGAAGTTTAGGCTGGAAGCTAGAGCACCTCCCAGAAGTAAGGCTAGGGGAAGCACCTCTTCAGGGTTGCCAAGGAAATTGCCCAGATACCTCCATGGGGCCAACGGAAGTTGATGGCATTACGATGACAACAACGTTGCTTGCTCTGCCTTCTGGGGATGTCGTGACCTCCTCAGGTGCCCTGAGTTCCCTGCCAATCAGGGAATTCTGCTTTCCTTGGAAGGAATCCATACGGATTTGTTCAGTTTGGTCATTTGCTTCTTTTGTAGGAATTGTTTTATATTGCTCTTTCAAGTGTTAAGTTGGTAAATATATCATTTTAAAAAGACCTTTAAAGTATTGTACTTTTTAAAGCTGAAAAATGGGATGGAAGTTTAGTCTCTAGAATGATAATAAGCTGACTGGGCTGTCCCTTGAGGGATTTTCTACACGAGAGCTGCAGTCTTCCTCTCTGAATGGGAATGCAACATTTCTGTTTTTCCACCACTCCATGAGATCTGAGCACAATCTGGGTTCAGCATCATTACAGGATTTTCAGGATCCCTGGGAGGTCATTCCAATGGGAAGAGGGTGAGTGGACACTGGGGATCTCTGCGGCTGAGCCAGGGACTGAACATAAATAATTCCAGACCAGTTCTACTGCACTGGCGGTCAAAGTGATTACCCGAAGCTCAGTCCGGTTGGGTGATGAAGAGCGGGAAGTTCCTTGGGCATCTGAGCAGACTCCACAGCAGAAGCCCCTTCCCAACCCAGCAGTACCGGTTGCAGCTTGTCTTGGAGGCCACAGGCCTGTCTCTGTTGGTGGTGCAACCTCCAACACGTGGGATGCTCTCTCTCAAGGTTCCACTCCTTTCTCCTGTTCCTGGGCTACAACTTACACTCGGTGCAGAACATGAAGGTTACCAGCTTCTGCCAGCTCCTGCGGGAGTTTGCCCTGGAGTACCACACGTGCCGAGAGCGCGTCCTGCAACAGCAGAAGAAGCGGGCAGTGTGTCGGGAGAGGAACAAGACACGGGGCAGGATGATTACTGAGGTGAGTCGTTCAAGGCTTGTTCCAGCTCGCCACACAAAAGGTGTCAGAAGCAATCCCCTTGCATCCCGGTAAGACCAACTTTTCCCACGTGGTCTTCCTGGCTGGCCTTACCGTTGCCGAGAACAGAGAGAACAGCCATGGGGGCTATGGGGCACCCTCCTCCCTCGGACACAACTTCTCTCTTTGCAGATGGAGAGGTTTGCTGCCATCAGCAAGACGGAGGACAGCTCTGCCCCTGCCGTGCTCTCTGCCAGCCCAGAGCAAAAGGATGAAGCTAGCCATAAGGACATGACCAGCTTGCTGGTCTCCCCAGCAGAAGCCCCTGGCCACCGCTCCCGGGCCAGCAGAGGTAGGAAGTGCCCTGGGGCGGCCTCATGGCCACGGTCTGGCCTCGGCTTCCTCCTGAGCTTAGTCCTCCTCAGCAGGGTCCCCTTTCCTGGGCTATCTGTTGGCAGCTGCTGCCGAGCCCCACCTTCCACCTCCTGCTCCTCCTGGAGGCCTCCAGTTCCTCCACCTCCTCGGTTCCTAGCATCGCTAGTGGCTCCCCTGTGTTCACCTGCTGTGTCTCTACCTGTTGTGGAGGTCTAAACATATAGATCGTATAAGCTGTTAGCTTAAGTATTAAGAGGCACGTAGCTCAGTGCTGTGACCCTGGAGTGGAGACAGAAAACGGAAACCAGACAGCTGCCCTGAATGGAGTGGTGTGGAAGGAGACTGATACAATACACAGGGTTGTTTATTGTACACGCTAAAAGGAGAGAACCCTTTTGTCTCAGAAAAAACAGAGAGGTAATTCAAATTGTTGATCCAAAGCATTCCGGTGCAAGGGGCATACTGTAATTCGCAGGGTTCCTTTTATCTTGCTTTCTGTAGTGTAACAAACCAAACGTACACCTTGCTTTGGTTAGGGATCTTCTGCAAATCTTTAGCAAGGAGCCCGTTGATCACTGTAGTTCATGCATGCCCATAAGAGTGTATTGTGTTGCATCTATCTCCAGATGTTTTGGGTTCTTATTTAGGGTGAGCTTTTTTCTCACAACACTGTGAGGAGCAGAATCAGGCCCAGGGAGAGTTGCTTGAGCCCGTCTCCCAGTTGCTGTGGGCTTTACCTGGGCTACCTTTAGGCAATAGGACATTGGGGCTGAGGGTCAGCAGGGAAGAGGGAGGAACAAGGCATCTCTGGGGCAGAAAAAGCCTTATCTGCTGATGGACAAGGCCAAAGATGCTAATTTGGGGGGCCTGAAAGGTGCATTGTGGTTATTGTGGAGAGAAAATGTGAATTGGCTCACCCCCCCTGCCTCCCTGGCAGGAGCACATCAGCAACTCTCTCCATCCCCTCAGGAGCTTTTCCATTCTAGGTGTCGGGAAGCAGAGTCCCACCGGAGGGCCTGCCCCCCAGGAGGAAGCCACTGGCTCTTCCGAGGATGCTTCTGAGGAGATCATGGACCGCCTGGTCAAGTCTGTGACCCAGAGCTCTCCTGCACGGTCAGGCACAGGGAAGGAGCGCAGGCGTTCACGGATGAACAGGAAGTCCCGTAAGTGTTGCCTGCTCTGTCACTTCTGGGGAGTTCAGGCGTGGCTTCTGTGCATTCACGGTCCTAAACGTTGCAATTGGGGGCGCTTTCCTGAGAAAAGAGGAGTGAGAGGAAGGGTCTCGCCTTCCCCGTTCCCTGCTCTGTGTCCCCTCTCAAAGCAGGCATGGGGCCCTCCTCGCAGCTCACCCCCATCGTGCCGCCAGAGAGGGGCTCTGCTCCCCTGCCGTCTCTGCCCACCTGACGACCCCCTTGCTGTTGCCTTCCTTGCAGTGAGGCGGACCCTGAAGAGTGGCCTGAGTGACGAGCTGGTGCAGGCCCTGGGCCTGGCGCAGGCGGCCGGTGTGGCTGTGTGACGACGCAGGAGGAGCCTCCTGAGGCCGCGTGCTGCGCCTGAGTGGGAGGGGCTCTTCCTTTCGGGAGGCTGCCTCCCTTTGCCCAGCAGGGCCCAGACGGCAGGTTCCCTGAAGACACCTCCTCCCTGCCGGGGTGAAGGCCAGAGCCCCGCTTGCCCGTCTCGCCTCAAGGAGGGCCGGTGATGAGCAAGCCTGCTTTGGCCCGGGGGCATTTGCGCAGATGCTTCTGCTCAGGGCTGGAGAGCTGATGACTCTTGTTCCACCATCTTCCCATGGGGTGAGCTGCTGTCCACCCGCCTGCGTCCTGCAGTGGGGAAGTTTTTCTGCCACCGCCACGTCTCACGCTGCCAGCAGCCACCTCCAAAGTCCCGGAAGGAGAAGGCTCTTTCTGCCCCAGCCCCGCTGCTGCTGCTGCCACCGCCGCCACCTCTCCAAAAGGGAGGCTCCCGCCCCAGGGGAGAGCCCCCACTCGCTCTGGATGGTGAGCAGACTGGAAGCGTTGCGGTCGCCGAGGGCTCCTTGTCTGTTGCTGGAGTTCAGTTAGAAATGTGAAGTAAAAGCTGTTATGTGAGTCTGATAAAGCGGGCTTGTTTTTCTTTTCCTACCCTGTTTGTTACATTTTTGGTTCCTGTTCATTGAGTGGTCAGAAAACTGACCTGTGTGGAATTGCACCCGAGCACCAAAGACAGCTGGAAGCGGCAGGGGGCCAGCCCCACTGTGGGCACTTCCGTCCCCAGCAGCGCTTCTCCCTGCCTCCAGAAAGCCTGCGGCATCGGCTTTGGGGCCCTGGAGCCTCTGTGAAGTTCTTGGGGCCGTGGTTTTACCGGCAGCTGAGAAAAGCAGCTCAAGGAGCTGAAGCGGCTTGTCTGCCTCCGAGAGACCCCTTGCTCTGATTTGTCTCAGGGTCGCCAGGCAAAGGAGCGTCGGCACAGACCCTCATCCACAACAGGTTCTGGGCTACGTTTAAGGAGCAATTTGCACCCGTTTCATTTTGGAGAGAGACAGGTAGAGAGATTCTCGGCTCTTTGGGTAAGCAGTATTATGCAGAGCAAAGAAAAGTCAAAGAAACTAAAGGCATGAAATAAGAAAAGGAAAGGTAGCTAAAATCGACACACGAGGACTGTTCCCCCTCCCTCTCCATACCTTTCGGTCCTAGATAACCACTTTGCTTCCAGACATGGCTTCCTACTTTGCTTCTTGTGCTTCAAACTTCTCGTTCTGTTTCTGAGAAACTCGTCAGTGAGACCACAACTTTCTCAGCCTGCGTCTTCCTCCTGACCCACTCAGAGGTGAACCCAGTCCACGTTCATTTAGCATTCATTCAGTCTACAGTCTCTTCCGTTACTGCACACACACACACTTTTTAAGTACCCATTCCAACACCATTTAACTTAATTCTCGGTTTCATAACTTCCACCTCCCTATAATAAAGTGGGCAGGAGGACACTCTGAGGCATTTTTGCATCTTTCAATAAACGTTCATCCCTCCCAATAGACCGCGTGTTGCCCATAACCTTTGCCAACATCACTTGTCTTAAAATTTCTCCATTTTCCTGTCTTCAATAAATGGGATACACAAATTCATCTACTTGGTTTAGTTTTTCACCATTTATGTATACAGTAACTTGTTCATTCCATTTTGTCTATTAAATAAAACTACCTTGGTTGTTGATAATTAGTTTTTAAATCCCTATTCCTTGCTGCATCATACAATCCGTCTGACATTTACTGCAAATAATTTGGGTTGTCAACTGACAACAGCACTTCATCTGCATTCAAAGGTACACGTACGTACATGTCCCCCACCCAACACACTTGGAACGTCACAAGCGTTCCTCATATTGTTGTTTAGTCGTTAAGTCGTGTCCGACTCTTCGTGACCCCATGAACCATATTGC